GCAAGGCATCACACAATTTCAGCAGAGATCTGTTGCTGTGAAAAGCATCAAACTTTACCGCATGGGTATCAAGCAACGCCTATGCCCTATGTCTTGGTGCCAGAGCGATGACCGTGCTCATGCTGGATCAGATGGCCAGACAACGCGGCAGGACTCTTGCCCTGTTGACTGGTTTTAGGAGCAGGCTCAGGACAGGGCTACCAAGCGATGGGGGAACCTCTCTGTTTCAAACCTGCCAGCAGGGATTTCCTTAGTGGGTAGGTTCCAGGGTGGTTCCCTTAGTGGGAAGTACCCGTCACAGATCCAAGAGTTTCTGTGAGCTCTTAAACACCAGCTTCCCCCCTCATGCCACAAAGTGCTTGTTTCTTTGGTGAGAAAGCTCATGGGTACTTCTGAAGAAAATTTTCTTGCCCTAACCACTGTCCACCCTTCTCAGCACTACTTGTGAGTGTTGAGATGCCCCCAGTAGTGATCTACTGTTGATAACTGCTCAGGGTAGGGCTAGGAGCATGTGTAGGAAAGGACAGCATAGGGGTAAAAACACCAGAGGAGTGGGTGGGAGGAGGAGGCGTATTCAGATGCAGAGAAGCAGAAGGCAGCAGGCTCAGCTGAAGACTATTTTTAAGAACTAGTTCAAACACGCTGCAATGTCACCTGCTATCTCCCACCCAGCCAAGCTGTTGGGCCTAGATGCTCACAAGGCAGCGAGGTCTTGCTGGTTGCAATAGGGTTAACACTTGTAGTCACATGCCAGAGTTTGGGGTGGACACTGGCACAGTTTCTTGTCACAGTGGTCTCGCAGGCAGGGTCACAAGGTGGAGGTAAGGGATGGGACACTCAAGCCAGAAAAGCTACCTATGGGGAGAGGGGCAGCCTGGATGATGCGCCTTTGGCTGCAAGGCATGTCCAACCGACACAGCTTGTCAGCCAGCCTCTGATACACTGTTCAGCTGTGCCTGGCAGACATGCGGTGACTCGGACTAGCTGTGGGGCAATGGGAAGTGAGAGACAAGCTCATGCTTTCATGCTTAGCGCCGGAGACTGCCAGGTCTAGCAATAGCTTTGCTCTAGCGATGAGTACAGGTGAACAGCTCTTCCAGCTGCTCTTCAGCCACGTGGCATTTCAGCAATGCACAGCAAAAAAATGTAGCAGCTTTGCCAGGCCTTGATCTCCGTGTGAGGCAGTCCAGGCTGCCGAGCAGCCCACAGCAGAAATCCCTGCTGGCAGAAGTGCCCTCAAACTCAGCAGCAGCCTGTGTAAAGCCAGGGAATGTGTCGTTCCTGGTTCGTCCAGGCCCCACATGGGCAGAAGTTACGAGAGAAATGTAGCCACGCAGCTGACGTCCAACAGGCCTGCCCATCCTCAGAGACGTACAAGATATTCTAAGCCAGTAATTTCATACCGTGTTGGTGCTCTTGGGTAACAAGGGCTGGCTGTTACACAAGCCTCATGCACAGGCTGGAAAAGATTCGTCTTATCGTAGAATCATAGAATCATAGAATAGTTTGGGTTGGAAGGGACCTTTAAAGGTCATCTAGTCTTCCCGACTCCCTCTGCAGCCTGGCCAGAGATGATCAGTGATCCTGATACGGCAGAGGGCCGGCTGCTGTTACAGGGTAACCCAAGGGCACCCCAAAGTGCTGAAGCATAAAAACACACTGCCACCTTTCCGTGCCTCAGGTGTCCCCCTCCCTGTTTGCAGGCACTACAGAAGGGCAAGACAAAGGTACCCGGCAGCGGTCGGGCAATGATGGAGAGGACGTGAGCTGCCCATCGCTTCCCAGCTCTTGAAACACGTGAGCTCTCTTTCCAGGGGTAGCAACGGCAGTAGCCAAAAGCCTGAACTTTGCTTCCAGAAGGAATCAGCTGTTGAGCTGAGCAAATCGTGATGCTGTTCGGGGTGGGTGGAAGAAGGGAGGGAGGGAAAGCCAAGCCTGACACGGGCCAGAGCAGGGGGGGAGGCACTCACAAAGGCCTCGGAGGCAGGATGGAAAAGGCAGTAATTACATAAGACCACTTGGCGAGCATCTGGCTGGAGTCAGCTGGGCCCCGCCAGCCCTCCCTCCCCGCGCTGCTAACCGGGAGCAGCTGAGGATACAGATAACCCCGCGTGGGACCCCTCCGGAGGGGAGCGGAGGTAAGAGATCCTCCGCTTCCCCTCCCGGCAATGGTCTTGGAGAGTGGGAGCAGAGGGGTGGGGAAAGGGAAAGCGGCTGTGCTGGAGGAGAAGCAGCCAGGAAGGGGAAGAGAAGGGGTTGTTTCTCTTCCTCTTGGTGCGGATGATACCTTTGCTCCAGAGGTTTTGGTGAGGGAGGAGCCCTGAAAGGCGAGCGTGTGGGTGTTTGTGGGTAGATGCGAGCATGTGTGTATGTGTAGCAGGGCAGGGGGTCCACATGTGCAGAAGGGGAGCTGAGCTGTACTCAGCGGGTGGAAAGGGGAGGAAACGTCAAAGTAATTTCCTTCCTTCTGTACCTGTGGTAGAGAGGGTTAACAGGATGGAGGCAGTCACTGGGGGACAGCCAGGCTTCATCCCCCTACTTTGCCCTGGGCAGGGATTGCAGGAGGAGGGAGGAAATGTAGAAGAAGGATGAAGCAGCTGCTTTTGAGCAGGGATCGTTGCAGTCCAATCTGGCCAGAGTTTCCCTGGGCTGTCTCCAAGGCAGAGTGTGCGATGAGGGAGAAGGGAAGACTGTTGAGCACACAAGGTGCCTTCAGGCTTGGGTTACACTTAAAAGCATGGCTGGCACAGGGTTATTGGATAGCATTCTCAAAACTCCTGTCTTTGAGCACTTGGCCATACAAGCCAAAACCTCCTGCAAATGTGGCTGCCCTGCAAAATATTACTGGTACAGCCAGTTCCCTTCAGGGAGCAAGCGATATTACCCTGGCAAAAGTGTCTTCACTGGCATAAACTGCTGCCCAGCTGGGCAATGCCACCAGTGCAAGGCTTTGTCTGCTGGCTCCCCGCGGGTCCCTATTCAGCTCAGATGAGACATTAAATACAAAGTCCTGCTCACTGCCCACTGTGGGTTGTTCTTGCAGTCAGATGAGAAAAAGGCAAAGACCCCAGCTGATGAGGTCCTCCACGAAGAACGTTTGCTTGGTTGTGAGCAACTCAGGAATGCAGATGGAAAGGTGGGATGGAAATGAGGGCAATGGCCTTCCCTGCTACCTGTTCCCCTTGGAAAGGTAGGGGAGGCCAGACATAAGGCAGAGTGCTGCAAAAGGGGGTAATGTCATGCTTGGAAATAAGCCAGGCAAGAAAACCTGAGGGAGTGAGCCACTGCAATAGCTTTGATGGGACAGAGAGGAACTCTGCCTTCACTGTCAGTCTGTGAGTTTTCATGCACCCCAGAAAATTTATTGGCTTTCAACAATAGTACTGTCAGTTGCCAAAATCCCCACCAGCAGCAAGCAGGAGTAGACAACACAACTGATCACAAAAACCCGCTTCTGTCAGCTGGCAAGGCTCCATTAGCAAGAAGTGTTGCCCTAACCCTTCCCCCTCTCATTTTCCAAGAGGGGAAACTGAGGCACAGGCAGACGTGGGAGACTTGCAATGGGTCTCATTGTGTGTCAGTGCTGGAGCCTGGCTAGGAACTCACGAGCACAGCAGCGAATTTCTTGGTCCTCTTCCTGCCCCGGCTGGGAGGTATGTTCGCTCCGTGTTCATTGAGCTCCAGGCTGACAGGCAGCCTGAGAATATCTCCAGACCTCCCAGCCCCCCTTCCTCCCTTCCCCCCAGCTTGCAGCACATATTTTCCCAGAGTTTTCCGCTTGCTCCTCCAGTGGTGCTGGGGTCCTGCCAAACGCCAGCCACTCTCTGGGAAGCGGGGCCTCCCATTCCCAAACCAAACAAATGGGAGATGGAAAACAAAAAAAAAAAGTCCAAGCACACGTAGACACACACACAACCCTTTCCCCCTCAGAAACCTTGGAGCCTTCTCCAGCTTCTCTTGGAAACTGCAGGAGGCACAGTGCTGACTTGGCGCTTCTGGCCCCTGCGGAAGAGAGCTATTGCCCATCCTTCCTTCTGCCTCCCTAACATAGATATGTGCACCCCCACTGGGTATAAGTTCCCAAATCCAGTTTTGCTGCAGGGTAGGAACCCCAAATATCCTCTTCCCAACAGATTCTGCAGCGTAAGAAAAGTCTCCTGTCTCCCGCCCCCTGCACTTTTCCCCCCCAAAATGCCCTTCATTCTCAGATTCTGGTGCAGACACGTAGTGCTCACCCCAACAGCACAAGCACGTTAGCTTGGCGCTAGGCTCGGGGCAAAGATCATGACCAGGGTTTGTTCCAGATGCTCAGCTTTGCTGGCAGGCAGCTCCCCGCAGCGGGGCTGTGCTTCAGGCCAGGCACACCCCTCCCTTGCAAACTGCTCAGCCGGGGACCTGACCAGGGGATGTGACCGGGGCATGACACACTCCGGAGTACAAGGCTGGGGGCTCTGCCCAGGGAGGGGGGATGACCAGAGAGGGAAAAAAACGATGCCTCTCCCAGTTGGCAGATAAGCCTGCTAGAAATATCGTGCCTGGGGCGAGCAGCTGCAGTGATGTGCAGAAGAAACAATGCAGGAGAGAATGAAAGATGAAGTTTGGGGACTATAAGTGGGACAGGCGCAACTGGGGAGAGAGCACAGCCAACGAAGTGAAGGGCTAATGCGTGGGATGAGGGACTAACGCAGGGGAGTGAGGGCAGAGTCCCGCACCATCCCACCTGAAGGAAAGTGTCTCTCTTGCACCCATGCACCCCACCTTGCCCATCCTGAGATGCTCAGGGTGGGTGGGACACTGCCCTGCTGCCTACGCACCCTTCGCACAGGATGCAATCTGCATTTTGCTGACCAGGGCTAGGCTGTTTGGAAGCGAAAAAGCAGAGAAAAAAAAAAAAACATATATAAGGAAAAGGCACTACCTAAGAAAGAGTTAAAAGGCGCCGAAACCCAAGCCGTTTGCAATGGAGAGCGCCCAAAGCCAGGGAGGGAAAAGGAGGGAGAGGAGAGGGGAGGGAGCAGGTCCAAGCCCAGCTTGCGCGCCCAGTCAGCTCTCAGCAGTGCCTGTGCCAAGAGCCAGCTTTCTTAAAGCCATGGGCCCAGGGGCCGGCTTTGCAGGCGGAGGGGAGCCCTCGAGCAGGGGCTGGGAAGCACAGAGGGGAGCCCTCAGCCTCCGGGGTGAGCTGCCACGCTGCGCTGGGGTGCAGGCAGAGGGAAGGGGGGGCAGAGGCTGGAAGAGGGGCTTTCTCAGCTTGTTTGCGTGTCTGTCTTTCGTAAGCATACTTCTCTGCAGGCTGCCTGCTCCGAGCTTTGCTTCCTTCGCTGCGGCAGAGCCGCTCCCGTTTGGTCTGTCTGCAAAGGCCTGGCACTGCCTGCTGCTCTTGGAGGAGCCGGCCATCCCTTTGGGAGGGTGCTGGGGTTGCTGAGGACATAACTGAGCATTGATGGGAGGGGGCTGAGGCACAGAGAGGGATGGGGTTTGGTGGGGGGAAGGAGGGGGATGAAGTTAAGTTCCCAGCCCACAGGAGAAATGGGGTCTCTGCAGAGAAGTGGGGGTCAGACTCTATCTGGGACAGCGGGGTTGCTGGGTTAGACTCCTGTAAAGAGTTGATACCTAGTGACTGGAGAAGTTTTTTACAGCCCTCCCCACAGATTCAGCAGCCTACTGGAGCATGCTTTTGCTGAAGGGGCTGTGTGGTTTGCCATGTCTCCTTCCTCTACCCCAGCCTGGGGACTGAATCTTCTAGTGGCTCCAGTGGTTCACCTAGTGAGGGTCAAGCCTTCTTCCAGGGTTAGCACCTAGTCTCCATTGGTCTGGGCAGAAGGGCGTGGGGCATCCTCTTGGGCCATGCGGTTGCTACTCCAATTGCAGCCTTGAACCTCCAGGGACTTCAAACATGTAAACTCCCTCCACAGGACAATGCCATTTCACCCCACCCCTGGCTCCAGCTACAGAAAGATGTTTTGTGGTGATCTCTGCTCCATCCCCCATGTCCTCCCCTTCTTATACCTCACTCTGGCACTTCCTCATGTCTTCCCAGGTCACCATGGACATAATTTACCTGCGCACACCTCTGGCCTTCCTTCTTCTCCCTCTTGTTGTGCTTGGGGCACCCACTGATGAACCCAACCTCACAGAACCAGCACCTGGTGCTTGCAAGCGCTGTTGTGACCCACTGGACTCTTCTACAGATGCCCCACCGCTCCCCCCCAGCCACCACCACTTGCCCTACCCAATGCCGGAGGTCCGTCCCTATATCAACATCACCATACTGAAGGGTAAGTGCCCATCTCGGCCCTGAGATGCCAAGGCCTGCTCAGGGACCAGTGGCACTGCGGTGGAGGTGACAGCTGGGTTGCTGGCATGCTGGTTATGCTAACAGACTGCCAGATGCCATCCTGAAGGGTATGTGCCCACAGACATTGTGCCCAGGGTTTAGATGTTTTGTGCTGTGATCAAGAGTAGCCTGGGGGGCGGGAAGTCAGTGCTGTGACCTCTGTGTCTCAGGATGCTGCCTGCTACCAGCTCTTCCTCCCTGCTAGCACAGGAGTGGCAGCGGCAGACATCTTCCTTGCCTCAGACTTCCAGAGTCCTGTAGTGCCTGCAGAGTGAAGGAGCAGTCTCTATCTAGCTGCAAAATAAGCAGGTTTGGAGGGTAGGCATTGGCATCTGGCAAGGCTGTGAGGAAACCTTCTCCAGCTCCATGGGTCACATGCATTTTGGAGAGGGAGGAGGGCAAGGGGAGGCAGCAGCTATTTGCAAGCACCTCCAGGCTAACTGGCAGTGACCCCCAGCCTGTTCCACCCTGCTGTGGCTGGCTTGGCTAACAGGAAAAGCTCCCTATTTTAGATCAGCTCCTCCCTTCAGGGCTCCCCTTTTAGCCTTTGCTGCGGGCAAAAGCCTGTTCCCAGCTGGATCCCGCTCCACTCACTTATTGTTGCTCTGTGGTTCCTCTGGGCTAGCTGGGCAGATGTTCCCCCTTCCCTGCCCAGCCTGGAAATAGAATCATAGAATCATAGAATAGTTTGGGTTGGAAGGGACCTTTAAAGGTCATCTAGTCCAACCCCCCTCCAAGAAGCAGGGACATCTTCAGCTAGATCAGGTTGCTCAAATAGCTGCAATCCATCAAAGCTCAGAAGTGTGACTGGGGCAGAGAGAGGCCTGGACTAGGGGGACCTGCAATACCTTGCAGGGGATGGAGAGGAGAAAAAGAACAAGGCACAAATTTGGGATGCTGTCACTTGTGCTGGAGGCTGCTCTGACCCCCATCTCTTCTCTCTATACACAAAGTATGCTCTGGTGCTGCTCTCTCTCTGTATTGATGCCTGCCCAAGTGTGTGACAGGCAATGCACAAACCCCAGGGTAGAACTGCAGTATTAATTATACAGGATGCCCAAAGGATGCCGGTATTGTCAAAGTACCAGCCCTCTAACTTGCAGTGCACCATCCACTACGTCCAGCCTGGATCTTTTCACTCTGACCCATCTCATTGTCCCTCTCTAGTCATATTCTCCCACAGGCATTAGCACTTCTTCCTCTTCTCCAGCCAACAGCAAGAACAGTGTGCACACTATGTGGGTCATAGGAGAGGTGTGTGGGAGGGCAGGGGCTGTGGTGGAGGTAAAGGAGTGTAGAGGAGGAAGAAGAGATGAAGAGACCCAGTGGTACTTTGCACTGCTGGGCTCCCTCTCAGGCTGAAGTCTCCTAGGGACAGGTCCTAGTGCCTCCAGCAAGGCCATATCAAGTGGTGAGCAGGGGGTTCGTTAAGAGACGAGACTCCAGTCCCACCCAGAGCTCTGCTAGCTCCTTTCCCATGAAGCACAATGATGTTGTAACCCTCAGGAGCGTTCCTTCTTCTGGCATTGCCCCATCCTTGAGCAATCCTCTGCCTCCTCATTAGGCTTTCTCACTGCTGCTTCCACTTCTCCCTCTGGGTATCACACAGGAGTTGTGTCCTCTGCTTCCTCTTGTAGGAGAGAAAGGAGACCGGGGAGAGCCTGGGATGCCAGGGAAATGGGGCAAAGAAGGACCACGAGGCGAGCGGGGTGCCCAGGGCCAGAAAGGCAGTAAAGGACAGATGGGCACAGCGGGAGATCCTTGCAAGCATCAGTATGCTGCATTCTCTGTCGGTCGCAAGAAAGCGCTGCACAGCAGCGAGGGCTTCCAGGTCTTGATCTTCGACACTGTCTTCGTCAACCTCTACAGCCACTTCGACATGTTCAATGGCAAATTCTACTGCTATGTGGGTGGACTTTACTATTTCAGCCTCAATGTCCACACCTGGAACTTCAAGGAGACCTACATGCACATCATGCACAACGAAGAAGAGGCAGTCATCTTGTATGCCCAACCCAGCGACCGCAGCATCATGCAGAGCCAGAGCCTCATGCTGGAGCTTCAGGAAAATGATGAGATTTGGGTGAGGCTCTACAAGCGGGAGCGGGAGAATGCCATTTACAGTGATGATGTTGATGTGTACATCACCTTCAACGGGTACCTGGTCAAGCCCAGCCTTGACTAACTGCCTCTTCTCCTTCTTGGGCCCTCTTTGGCCTTTTCCTTCTTCCTCTCTCTCTCTCTTTACTGCCCGCAACCACTGCAAATCACTTGGAAATGGGCCTGTGAAGTCTCAGGCACTGAGTGTGAAACTTGCCGCACTGGCTCCCACCTCACGCTCTCTTGTAGCCAGGCCTGTATCTGACCATTTACAGCGTGACACTACCATCTCTCGCCCCCTCACCTCATGACTCCAACTTAGGTTATTGGCTTCTTCTAAATCTGCCAGCAAGCTGTGTCTGGCATTTAGGGTCCTAGAGCAGGAGGAAAGCTAAAATGCTGCTCCTGGGGATGTCTCCCTCCTTGGCGCTTCATACACAAAGGACTCCTGTAGAAAGGGCTAGAAAGTCCTCACTGCCCAGGTGCATCTTGGCTCCTCTTCGTCCCAGCTAGACGTGCCAGTTTTGCAGCCTGCAACATGGCCATAATGTCACCTCTCACATCTGTAGTCTGGAGAGCGGACTGGGGCTTGATGGCCTCCTGTAGCACAAGGAAGCTGTAGGAGCAGTGAGAGACAATACTGCCTTTCCAGAAAGGGGACTGTTGGCCTTCTGAAGTATGTCATTGGCTTTCCTTAGACACCCTTCCGGGTCACAGAGTCCAGGTTGGCTGTAAAATCTAGGCCTGGTGGGATTGTTCTCTTCTGTGCCAGCTCTAGCTCTTCGAAGAGACGAAGGGCCAGACACTCAGCCAGACCCTTCAGAGGCATTGCCGTTGAATCAGTAGAGCTCACCACTCTATTCCTACTAGGGATCATAAGTACAGAATGAGAAAGACCAAACCTCCCTCCCAAACCTCCCTCCCAAACCTCCCCTGGGGTGGTCTCAGTTCCCCGTTGTGGGAAGCTAGTCCAGACAATAAACCCAAATCTGCTCTCTTCTTTGGCAGAGGTGCACCCATGCCCTTCCATTGGTATCAGCAGTCATCCCTAACACTTGCTGGTGTGAGGGAAGAGACAGGCCCTGGCTCCTGCATGCCATTACATTGTCCTCCTGAAGGTGGTTCTCCCACGTTGGTATTGAGGGACCACTGCTTCAGGACCTGAGCTGGAGGCTGTAAGGGCAATTGCAGTTAAATCAGTTCCAAACCTGGGCAGGTTGGCACTTCTTTGCCTCTGTGATGGAAAAGAGATAGAGGTGAGACTACAGTACCTCACCTGAGGGTTAAAAGCTTCCCTGCCACATGCTCTGTGCCATTTTCTGGTGATCTCATCAGAGCAACTGCGAAAAGCATGTGGCTAAAACAAACCCTCGCTGCTCTTGTCAGGTTGGAGATGTCGCAGTGGGAAAGGAATGCCAGCAGTAGGGTTTTCTAGTACTATTTGTTCTGGTCTCACACTGCTCTCACTCACATCCCTCTGGGATTGCTATGGTCCTGGGGGGAGCAGGTGAGGCACTTTGAAAAACCTACTTCCACATGTTGTGATGCTCCCATAAACAGCAGTGCCAAGAGTTGTCTCTTTTTTGAGTCTCAGGACAGGACAAGCAGGAGAAACTGTATTTCTCCTCTACCCGTCACTGATAATGAAGTCTTCTGCTGTCTCGCAATTAGCCATGGTCTCTGCCTATAGCACCTGGGACTACCAGAACTCTCTCATAGGAGATACGTATCATTATACAGGATTAGGTCTGGTACACGCAGCCCGGGATGGCAAAGGCACAGGGACCCAGGCTAAATATTAAAAATGACCTTGAGAGAATTGCAGGACATTTTCTCTCTTGCCCTGTTTACTTACGCTTCCTGCTTTGCTAAGGAAGCTGTACAGACTGGAATGAGTTTCAGGCATTTTCTGCCCTGGATCCTCCCCACCACTGTCACTGAGGCAATGGCTATAAAAACAAGGTTTCACTGAGGCAAAGCTGGGTTTTTCCCAGGGAAATATATGATGATGGGATCATGGGAACTAAAGGAGACTGTGAGTTTCTTCCCCTCCCTTAACAGGTCAAGCGTGTGGAATTGCTCAGAGACAGGATTTCAGGCAGTGGAGAGGAAGCAGCATGCTGGGAGGTGATGCTCAGGACCGAATCCCTTTCTCTCTTCCTCAACAGGCTGCAAACCCAGATATTGTCTATTTACAGTGTATAGTGCCCCTGTGTCTCCCTGAAGAGAAGCAAGCCTCTCTAACACTGAATATCTCCAGAAAAAAGCTTCCTTCTTCCTCCTTTTCTATTTGGTGTTTGAATGCCAGTGATAGGTCTCATGTGCTACCCATGAGCAGATAGCGCCTGATGCACATGAGAGAGGAGGGCAGGGGGACCAAAGGGTATGTTTAACAGGCTTCTTGGTGCTAAACAAGATGGCAATCCCTTGGTGCTAAATCAGATTTCAGGAGTATTGGGTGCTTTCTGGAAGGTGTAGTAGGCTGAGTTGTAATGTACTGTGGAATTAATGGTGCTTTATGTTACAAAACCAAACAAACTTCAAGAACTTTTGTATTTTTTTTTTTTTCAGTGGTATTAAACTTTTTTGCCTGGTCGTTTTGCACTTAGATCTGCTTTTCCTTCCCAACCTATTCCTTCTAGCTCTGGTTATCGCTGAATACTGCAATAGAAAAGACACTGACCTGAAAGAGACAGGTGAAAAATCTAACTCAGGTCTGAAACTTCCCTGGGCAATCCTTGGCAATCTTCTGTCTGTTTCCTTTGGGGAAAACCATAACTTTAAAGCTTTTTACTGCTTTGACACTTCTAATTATGATGACCCTCTCCTCTCTGCTAGGAAAGCTTTAAGCAAATTCAAGGAAGGATTCTTTGGAAATTACCAAAAAAACAGGACAACACAATGGGTTGTAGGATTAGGCTTCAAGTTTTAAATAATTCTATTGAGGAAGGCCTGGCTAATGCTGGAATTCTCTTAAGGGGGATCAGACCCTTTATCCTGTGAAATTTTTAGCACATCCTTCTGTCAGCATGTGTGTTTTCTGTTTTCCCTGTGGTGTTTCTCTTTTGTCTGCCAAGAGGTAAAAGCAGGAACTATAGGCATAGAAGGGACATTAAACTGTTGACTAGACACTTGTGCTTGCTAAAAATGGGGTGGGTGGCAGTTCCAGAGTTAAGCTGGACACACATTTTTGGAAGACCTGTGTGTGATGGGAAAGGCTTGAGGTTCAGGTCAGAGGTGGAAGGACAAGTGGCGATTGCCCATAAAGTTGGGGAAAACGGGGAGACGTGAGGGGGGAGTGGAGACTTGGAGGCTTGAGTGGAAGATCTAGGAAGGGTAGAGTCCTAAGGACAAGGAGATGCCTACTGAGGTCTCAGTGCAGGTTGAAGAGGTAAGTGGGGGTTTTTTTATCATCTTTGGGGTTTGGACTGAGGGGCCTCCTGAAGTGGAGGAATGGACAAGAAAACAGAGGAGATGCCCATATAGGACCTTCTGGTTTGAGTTTAATTCATCTTCACGTAGCTTCTCCTGTGGTTTGACATGTCCCAGACACTTTGTTTGGCAAGGGATGGAAAACATAATCATACGCATCCTTACAGGCCTCTTTGGTTCTGTGTCAGGCCCTGAGCTAGGGCTATATATATATATGTAGTAAATGTGATACTCTGTCAAATTGGGAGCCCAGCCTTCTTCGGGTTTTTTATTTACTTCTGAGGAAGCAGTCAGAAACATGTCCTCAGGAAGTGCAGGGCTTGTGCATGTTCCTGGCCCCTTGAGGTGAGATGCTGCTAGATTGGAGGTGCCTTTGTCACACTTACAAAAGGTGAGGAGTGAGGGAGGAGGGCGGAGCGGAAATGTGTAGCCAGACTTTCTAGAAAATTTTTCTATGATTCAATCCTTCAGCCTACCCAATTGGAGAGGAAAGTGCCACCTGAAGAGTCTCTTCAGCCAAATCCCTTGGGCCTAAGATACATGCGTGACAAATGGAGTCTGTAGCCGGTGCCACCCATCACACCATGGATGCCCGGCTGGGGAGTTGCCATAGGTGAGGCTCAGCTCAGGCACGGTGGACCCTGCAATGCTGTTGAAGGAAAAAGGGCTAGACTGGGTCTAGCGGGTGCCGGCATGCCCTGATGGCCACGAGACCTCCAATCACCTCATTCACCCTAGGGATGGGTCCTTTTCCATGCAATGGGGCTGCCCTGTGGTATGTGAGCCTGGGGTTGGTGACAGCCAGCACCTCTCTCCTGGGCAAAGCAAGAAGCGTGCCCTGGAGTGGGCAGCAACAGCACTACCCCTGGGGCCGTGCCTCTCTTTTCCCCTGAAAGGCAGGTCCAAGCTCTGCTGCAAAGGGCTCTGCAGTCACGTCTCAAGCTTGTATGTGCCAAAGGGTTGGCCCTTTAAACTGGCTTCCTGCAGGTTTGTGGTCTTGCAGGTATGAAACGGGGGAGAGTGGGAGAGGAGGTAAAGGGCAGGATATGGTGGAGTCTCTGGGGAAGGAAGCACGTGTCGGGGCCAGCTCAGGAGAAGCTGAAGGCCCTGCGATAACTCCTTCCCCTGGGAAAGGGGAAGAGAGAAGCAGGGCAAGAAAAGGTATGTAAAAAGAGACCTTTGACACTGCTGCGGGCACTCAGATGGACACAGGTGCACGTGCCTGCACCCAAAGTGCCAGAAAGGGCAGGGCTGCAGCATGGCAGGACCTGGCTCTGCATCTCCCCTGGCCCTTTGTCAAGGGTGGGCCCAGCAGACGCCAGCAGAGCCCCCGCCTCCCTCCATCCTGTGCATTACAGCTGGATGCCATCAATGGGTTGAACCTGCCCCGGATCCTCTGTTTCTCACCTTCCCTTTCCCATTGCTGGCCAGGAGCTGCCGTTGGGCCCAAAGGGCTGGATGCAGACCCTGCCCGCGGCTGCGTGGGTGATGGGGCACAGCTGCATTGCCGAGGGCCATCGTTCCACCTCCTCTGACCACAGTGGGAAAACCACAGTGGGAAGCCGTGCGGGGCTTCAGGGGCCAGCTCGGTGCCACACTCTTCTATGACACCCACACATGTATGCACACACACATACCAGCCCCATATGGACA